TGAGGATGTCCTCTGCTGGACTGATATTTAATGTACTGCTGTAAGTCACTATGTGCCATATTGCTTTGAGTTAACTGCCTTGAAACCTGTCCTTGGGGGAAGTTCACATATATTTTAGCTGACATTAAAGACTGAAAGTTGGAAAAGTTCTAAACACAAGCCAAAAACATCCCTGTCTCTTGTAAAACAATACAGAATATTGCACATCCAAACATCCACGTAAGAAGTCGTTGACAGATAGGCAGACTAAAATTTGAAGAAATTAAAACCAGACTCACGACTTTAGAAATGATGCATCTTTCAGGCAAATCTGCAATGAAAGAAAATGAACTGTGATTTATGATTTAAGTAAATACATCAGTTAAGAAACAGAGCATTTTTCTGTCTACTTGCAAACTATGGTGAAATGGAGCAGAGTGGAATGAAGGCACTTACTACCTGAGGAAAAAAACATGACAGCTACATGACACCTTCAGCATGTCATGGTTTAACACCACACGCCCTCTCACTCACTCTCCACCAAGAAGAGAGGGGAAGATAATTGGAAAGGGAAAACTGAGAAAACTTGTGGGCTGACAAGGCATGAACTGGGTGGTACAGAGGAATCAAAAAGGCAAGGAAAACTCGAGCCCCCCTTTCAAGTGACAAAGACATCACGTACCTCATATGTTGTCAGGAATGTATAGAAGTGATAGTCTTTCAGACTCTCCTGCAGTTTGGGTCTCTTTTCCTTGCTGCCTACATATGTTATGAAAGAAAGGCCTGGACCAAACTTGTTGTTAAGAGAAAGTGAGCCAAGCTAAGTGTTTTCATGTGTTTATGACTCTGGATCCCATTATTAAACACAGCCACTGCATAGGTAATGAGAATTCATACCCAAACACCCTACACTCCTGTGAGATGTGTCTGGATCTCAGCTTTTGAATCTCACTCCTTCATAATTTTTACCTCAGGTTGGCACATCAGCTGCTGGCTCTGGTTTGGACAAGTCATAAATAAATCTGCATTCTTCTAGGTGTAAGAGTCAAAGGCAGATGATTGAAAACCAGTCTTATGACCTAACTGCTATTCTGAACTGAAAAAAGTTCATAAGAAGCAGGTGAATTAATACAATTGGCCCAGATAAGGCCAAAGAATTGGCCTGAATCATACTAAAATAAAGACAAAAAAATGTCTTCTGCAAAGAGGTCCAAGTCAGGGCCTCAAAAATATATTCTTTCAGTCAAAAAGCAGATAAAACCAGTTCCAGTTGTTGGGACCATAAAAATGTTCCTTATTTAATCCCACTACTGTTTTTTACCTAACATTCCTTTTGGAAAGCTGCACTGCTGATCTATGAAGGAATGCACTTTCTCCCAACTATTCCAACCCTAAGTCTATCCAAATCAGGCCAGCTCACTTCCAGATGTAACCTGGATGACTTCAGATGCTAAGAGACAGCATCAGCCGACGGCCACACAGACTTCTGTTCTAACCTTTAACTTCTAGCACTTTCTCTTAAAAGAAATCTGTGGGCTACAGACCACAAATGCACGTATTTCAGGCACAGCAGATACACCATCAGCACAGTCACCCCAGTGAGGATGGGCTGCATGCACAAGTGTGATGTATTTTGTGTGGATATGTGAGCACGCTCCCCAACTTGGGTCTTAACTTTCATTTTAAAGATTCCTGGCTATCTTCAGCAAATTTTGCATAAGAGAGACTGAGCAGGGAGGGTTACAAATCAATAATAAGCAAGGAGCCAGTGGAGGCATTTGGACTGAAAGTCAGCCAATAATATAGGATGGATGGATTCATGTATACTATAGCATTGTAAAGGCTATGCAATGACTGCATACTTTGCATTGATTTGTTGGTTTAGTAGCAGCTTCCCTTTTCACTTTTTATCCTTTCGAAAGGATAAAAAGAAAATGTTGGAGTAAGCATATTTGAAAAGCATCTTTGCAATCTTGCAATTTGCAAACTTTGCAATTGCAAGTCTGAGCAATACTATGGTAAATCAGACAACTGTTGAAACTTACCTCTCCAGTTCTTCCTTCCAGTTGCTCAGAACTGACAGAGAACAAAGTATCAGAAATCTCTCTTTGTTGGATATTTTTTTTGTCAAATAAAGAAGTAGAGAAATGGTATAAAAGGCAAGGAAAGTATTTTTTTATAACAAGGGAAGGGTTCAACCTGATAGACTGATTCTACATAAGCTGTCTCCTTGCTGAGCTTTGCAGCTAGTTTCCACAGGTTCATGATCACAAATCAGAGTTAATAGAATATCAAGTGTGATACAGACAAAAAGCCTTAGATTCTAAAATATGACTTCAGTATATGGAGCCCCTTTCCAAAGGCCTTTCTTGCACAGTCACAAGCCAGGTCGTCCATGCATCACTTTCTAAAACTATTTGTAATTGAAGATCTATTGAATAAAATCAGCTGATCAAAAGCACAAAAGTAATTTTCCAACAAAACTTAAATCCACTGAAAAAAACTTAAAAAAAAAATCCAACAAATCTTGAAAAAATTTGACCTACAAATTTTAATCCAAAAATCTTCTTGGTGCAGTTGCATCAAAAGGACATTATTTTTCCTGTACGGGCTGTGTATTTTGCCTTCAACTCTGTACACTATGGATTATGCATTAAGGTGTTTGTGTAAAATGGCCACTCATCTTCTTACAAAACCCTGAAACCTATTTAGAGTGACTCAGAACTTAACTCAGGACTTGTTTTAAGTGGTTCAGGACTGAAAGAGACAATGAGCTCTCACTTGAGTATGGAATTCTGAAGGCGTGGGGGATAATAATTAGGGTGCTTTTTCTTTTTCATTCTGCAGAAACACTGGGCTAAAAATCCAAAAATTTAAGCAAAGATTATTTTCCAGAAGAAGAAGACACACCTGACAAGTTTTCTCAAGGCCCATCTCATCACCCAGGATACAGCCATGCTGGACTTCATAGCATTGCACCAGCCAGTTTATACCTTCTAATTGATAGGGACGAAGTTTAATGCCTGGGAATAAAAGTGATTTGTTACACTTACAGTCACCCAAAGCACTTTACATACACACTAAAAACAGGTCCTGCCCAGAACAGGCCTTGCCAAACATCTGCCTTACACGAAAAGCACAGCAGCCTTCAGCAGAAGCTGGTTTACCCTCCTGGACAGCAAAGACTCCGATGTTACAGCAATTCCATTAAATTAAAGCATATTCAGAAACTTACACACACAAAAATGCCCTGAGTCATTGCAACAGACTGTACAAGGAACCTGATCTAATAATTAGGCTGGTACTTTGCATTTCTTTAGACAGCTTGACTTTCAGCTTGAGTCATTTTTAAAAAATATATAAGTACTAGAGCTAGGGACATGCTTTAGGCTACCAGAAATGTTTGTCAGAATTCATTATTGTATAGTAATAATTTCTCAACAAGATGCTTTCCAGCTTTTCTGTACTTAAAGCCAACAGGCCACTGAGACTACTACCACCATTGCAATCCTTTTCATGGGGCACAATATGTCAAAATGAATACAAAACAAGTCATACAGGAGTTGGCAAGACTTTTCCTTGTACTTAGACTCAAGAGCTATGTATTGTGCTACTGTTGCCCTCTCTTCCCTGGGAGAATATGCACACTGAGTGCGTGAAGTAACTCACCAGCCCACAGGACCCAAACCAGCCTGGGGACTGAGGTGAGGACTTCCAGCAGGTAAGGCAAATGTGCGGGCAGGATGGATTCATGTTCAACATCAGACCATTTAGAGGCTACTGAACAGGCCAACCCTTGTTCATGTTGTCCTGAATCACAGAGCTCTCTGAGGCTGTGCTGAGGCAGTAGGGGAGTTAAAGCCAAGCTCAGCCCTGGCCCAAACATTCACATAACCCCAAAGCCAAGAACAGGGACTGCAGCATCTGGGAAATGTTCGCACAGAGTGGAGAGCATGGCAGCAATGCCATCTCTGCAGCAGCTGCAGCAGATCACTTTGACAGGCCCGGGAACCACTTTATTTGCATTTCATTTATTTTTCTGTTAGTACAGAGCTCAGACAACTACAGCTGAGAGAACTCGGGTTGTCCAGGCTGGAAAAGAGAAGGCTTCAGGGTGATGTAATTGAGGCCTTTCAGTACCTGGAGGGAATTTCCAGGAAAGATGGGGCAAGACTATTTACAGGAGCTTGCAGTGACAGGACAAGAGGGAACGCATTTAAATTGAATGAGAGTATATTTAGATTAGATATTACGAAAACATTCTTTACTGTGAGGATGGTGAGCCACTGGAACAGGTTGCCCAGGTAAGTTGTGGATGTCCCGTCCCTGGAGGTGTTCAAGGCCAAGTCAGATGGGGCTTTGTGCAACTTGGTCTAGAGGAATGCGTCCCTGCCCATGGCAGGGGGGCTTGGAATTGGATAATCTTCAAGGTGCCGTTCCAACCCAAGCCATTCTATGAGATGGGCAGCACCAGGCAGGGCAAGGCCCCTCCGCCACATCCCGCCATCTCTTGACAGCAACCTCATCCCTAAGGCTCCCTCCCGAACCTTCCCCCGAGCTCCCCACTGACCCCTCAGCCCCCACTGCTGCACGTCCGCCTCCTGCACTCCCGGACTCCTGTCCCGGACGCCGCCTGCGCGGCGGAGCGCCTGGAAGAAGCGGGACATAGCGAGACGACAGCCACCCGCAGCACCGCTCCGTTTCCACCGCCTGCGGCCGACTGCGGGCGGGGCCAGCAGCAGCACCGCCCCGGCAGCGGGAGGGTTCCCTGGGAAGGGAGCACGGCGATGGCGCCATTGCTGCTGCTGCTGCTGTCGCTGCTGCCCGCGGCCGCTGCCACCTACCTGTGCTGCGTGCGGTGGCACACGGGCAGCGCGGCGGCCGTGCTGCACCGCCGGGGGCCGCGCCAGGCCGGGCCACCGGGCCCGCCCCGGAACACTGTGAGCGCCGGGCCGGGCGGGGGGCGGCGGGCGCGGGGCGGCGGGTCTGGCGCTCACCTCGCTTCTCGCCTTCTTTCCGCAGTGGGCTCCGAGGCTGTGCGGCGCCAGGCTGCGCCTCTTCGTCCATATGGCCAACACGGTGAGTGCGGGCCGGCAGACAGGACAGTGAAACCCGGGGCTGCGCGGGGGAAACAGGGCAGGGGATCTGGAGGGAGCGGGGCTCGGCGGGGAGATTGAGGCTCTGCGTGCTCTCAGGTTCCCGTGCGCCCCCCAGGTGTGATACCGCGGGCCCTGAAAGCGCCGGCCTCTGTCTGAAGGGTGTCCTGTGTGTCTTCGGGTGTGGAGAGCCCAAAGCTGACATCAAACTCGAAATACAGCTGCTAGCAGCTTTCCTTGGAAGGACTTGGGTCCCTCAGCCCTCTGAGGGAGGCTCCAGCAGGGTGCAGAAGGCACCTGTGCCGCCAGTGCTCCTCTCGGGTGGGCTCTGGCGTGTTTGGGAGCCTGCGGGCTGATCCCGCTCTGGCAGTGGGAACGCTCGGTGTCAGCATGCAGGGAAGAAAAGCCTGCATCCCCTGGGCACTGCCCACCTCGCACCAGCTTCTGCTGGAAGCAGCTGAGTTTGGTTACTGCTGCTGTTGCTTGGCCTTTTCCTTTTGAGCGAGGTAGGCACAAAAGTTTCTTTTCGGCTATGTTACCTGTTACAAAGCTTGGTGTCCGGCTGGAGCGAAACAGCTTGGTGGGTTGTGTTTATTTATGAGAATACCTTAGGAGTGGCTCTCTGTCAAGATGTAACAACGAGAGTATTTTGTTATCTTTTGCTTTGTGGCTGCTTCTGGTGTATAGCGAAGGGCTTCTTTCCTTGGAAGGGGGCTGTGATATTCTCATTCTCCTACGGGATTGTGCTGTGTTAGATTACATGTCGATCAGGAGCCATTTGTTTGTGTTTTCAAAAAGGTGCTGTAATTCTTATGCAATGTATGAGATAACATGCGGCTTCGTGGGACTAGCAGTGTGAGCCTTGTCTCAGACTTGTACTGTATTTGTATATCTCACGTGTTTCTGAAGTCCATTGTTAAGATACTAAGACAGACCAAAACAAGGCTGGTCTCTTTGGGACTGCTGATGCTGCTACACTTGGAGGCAGGGTATTGAAGGAGTATTTTCAGCTGTCTGCTACCACAGAGTCTCTAAATTTCTTCACACTTTTCCAAGTTGACTCATTTTACTGTGGGAGCTGTTTGAGAGATGGGAAAGGTCCTAATAGTAAATAAAATAATAAGCTCCTACCTTATCCCGTGTTTGCATGATCTGTGGAACACGAAGAAAATAACAGAGGGGAGCTGTATAGATATTTCTTAACAGAGTTGTACTGTAGGTGCAGGCTGTGTTAGTCAGGGAAAGACAAAAGCAGAAGAATCAGAAGAATACTCTTTTTATAATTATATAAATATGAGACGTGAGGGGAAAGCATTTCAGGCCTTTTTGTGGTGTAAAATACAACTGTTTGTGCTGTTTCTTTACTGCATAGCATTGCATGCTCTCTAGGATGCTCCGAGCCTGCAGCAATCGTGAACATATTCAGCATTCCTTGTCTAGGGAAAGACGGTGTTCAGGTCAAAGTTGCTGCAAAACAACATTTTTGCTTGCTTTTTTCCTAGGCTTTTGGGCAGATCTGCTTACTGCCATTCTTAATGAGGTAAGTGTGGGGAGTTTTCTCCCATTCCGAGTTTCTTTTATTTATTTTTTTAGGTTTAAGGTACTTGCGTTGCACACTGCTTGTAGGTTATCTGAAATTGTATTTTTTAAAGAGAAAAGCTGCATAATTTTTTTGGAGAGTGAGTAGGATTATTTGATAGATTATATAGATGTTTGCTAGATTATTTTTTAACTACTGTTATTTGAGTGGGTCTCTATGAGAAGAAATTAACCTTTTTTCACGCTCTTGCAGCTGCATAGAAATTGTATTCGCCAGCTTTTCTTTTTGCCCTTTGTTTGCCTTTATGTCTCTTTGCCTTTGCACTTTTATTAAAGGACAAACTTTTTTTCAAAGCTGGTGGATGTGCAAATATGCTATGCTTATCACTGATAGGGTTAAAAGAATAGCAGTAGTGGGGAAGTGAGGCCAGATATAAAGTTCAGAGGTTTTGGTAAGTTCTTTTTAATTATGTTCTCTATTTTAGGTCAACCTTTCTTCTTTCTCTCACATGTGTTTTTGTTCAGAAACTGATTTCAAGTATACATTGCACTAGGAGACGCTTGGGTAAGAGGTTCAGGAACCTCTTCATGCTTTTTTCATATAGTTTGCTCATGGTTTGAAGGGTCATCTGTGCAGATCCCAGGACACTTGAGAACTGTGTCACCCCTGAATTTGACTTGGGATGTGGGCTTTTTGAGCAAATCAAACCCAGGCAAGTGTCACTGCTGTTATACTGCAGATCATTCCTGGATATCTGTGACAGGGTTTTGGTTTCCTGGCTTTATGTGGTCCAAGCTATGGATTTATGCTGCAATCCCCGTTGTATTTGATTGCCAACCAACTATGTTGAAGCAGGTCATGGAAAAGTCTGAAGAGGTGCTTGTTTTAACAGGATTAGTCGTTGACTGTATGGCTTACACTACACTCTCCTTTTATTTTCCTCTCTATTCCTGTCTTGTTTGGTCTGTTATGGGAGGTCTAATTAAAGTGAATCAAAAACTTCCACCATTTGTTTCCCAGCTCAGGTTTACAGCAGCTGGTCTTATGTCAAGAGGTAGGAGGCTTTGTTAAGCAGGCAGAATGGATTTGATGCTGCCTTTAGGAAACATGTGAGAGATTAGCTTGTAACTGTTGCAACTCCCTGCTGTGAAAGCCGACTGCTAAGACAAAATGTTCTTCGGTAAGGTTCCTTCTGAACAGTCTGAAAGATTAGTCAGAGTCAAGGTTGAAAACTCCAGCAGTGACTCTCTCTTATTCAGAATGAACAACTTCTCACTTATGCGTTCCCTTGACATTCATGAAGATCCCACGTTTATCCCGGAGGTTGCTGCCAGTGTTACAGAAGACAAGTCTGAGGCTACAAGTCCTTCAGATGTTATCAAGCAGCTGACAGATGCAAGGTCAGTATGTGATGTGTAATAGAGAAGTGGAAGAACACACATGCTGGCACTGTTATATTAGTGGGAAGTTGTCATTGTCAGCAGTTTAGATTGAATTCTTGTTTCCATGCCCAGCCACTTCACAAAACAAATAATGCTGTCAGTCATCTCGCCTTTTCTAACTTGTAAATCACTAATAATTACAAGCCATGTGAAGGGAAAAAGCTTAAGGGAGTCTGCCTATTGGGGAGAGACCAAATATTGCCCTTACCAGGGGCTCTGGTTGCAGTATTAGAGCAGGTACACTTAGTGTTTGGCTAGTTAGTAAATAGATTCCTCTAAGTGATCTTACAGGAGTGCTGTTTCTAGCCTGCAGGGAATCTCAAAGAGAACACCAGGTTTACTTGGAGAAGGAGCACAGGTTTTAAAGAAAATGATGCACAAGAAATTAGCTTTGTTAGTGATAAGAAATGGTCTACTGCCTATGTGCTAGAGCCACTGACTTGGCGTTGAAGCAGTTTGCTTGTGCGTGTTGCACGGTGCCTTTTCCCACTCCTGCACTACACACCCAGATCTGCTGCTGGCTGTCTCTGGATTGAACTTTTGACAGAGTAGGTTCACAAGTATATTCCAGCTAAGCTATGATGTTGCAGTGGTGAATAGCAAATGTAAATCTGGAATACATTTTGAACAGTTTAATGACTGCTCTATTTCAGTAAGAATATGAAGAAACTAGAATATACTGGTAAAACTGATCTCTTATTTCTGTGACATCTGTAGTGTACCTGTTCCCTGGCTTGTGTGCAAGGAGTCTGACAGAGTGTGAGCTGCAATGCAGGGGCTGGCAATCCAGATGGTTTGCTGTGAGTGATGCCAAAATCTGCATGTGATGCATGAGTGATGCTGAAGTCTGCAGGCCTAAACAAACCTGGCTTTGGTGGCTCACAGTTGCCCCTTTTAATCCTTTCTTTTGCAGGTCTGATTCTGCTAGGAACGGGTTTAGCTTCAAAGGGATCAAAGACTATCTGGAATGCTACCGGTAGGTGAAATGGTGACCTGGAAACAACCTGTCCTGCGTGTTCCTCTGCTGTGGGCTGCTACCGTTCCACAGCCTCTCAGACATCTCTCTGTTAGCATTGTCCTTGAGGTGCCATTGTTTATCATCACTTCATGCTGTTCTTTCCCTTTAGTAGAATAACAAGGGAAAGTCAGCTGGGAGAGCTGGCTCACCTTTACAAGCCCTACAAGGATATTTAAATGCCATTTTCTTTGGCTTATTGTCAGTCTTGTCTGAGAGAGGTTTCTACATATCTTGTTTGCTCAAACATGAGTGAGAAGTAGATGAAGGTTGATCTGGATTATGGAAGTTGTGAATACTGTAGGTCTCTGATAAATCTCCTGATTCCCTAGCTCCTTGTGCTTCTCTAAACATGACACCTGCTTGCACCTAGTAAATGTGTCCTGCTTGGAAAGAGCTGAAAACAACTCCCTCACTCTGGGGTTCCATGAGCTGTTGGCTGCCTAGTAGTCCTAGTTGCGTCTGGGACATGTGCCAGATGTGGAGCCCTTGGATAAATATTCTTGCACTCCTACAACTTGTTCCTCAAAGTCCACCTCTGCCTGCAGGCTGTGGCATTGGAGCAAAGGGCTGACACTGCAGTCTGGTGTTACAGGTGCATCTTGGCCACAAGGCTTTTGTGTCATCCAGACATGGTGCATTTGTGGTGTAACACAGCCTTCGCCAAGGGGGAGGGTGTTGATGTTGGGGTAGCTGTTGAGATGAAGCAGATAAAGAAGCCGGAAGGGCCTTTGCAAGAGTTTTACAGAGATGTTTATTTCAGCCACGCATGTGCACAGTCCCAAAGTTCAGAAACAAAGGCAAAGGCAAGGAAGTTGGTCTGAGAGTCCAGGTTAAGTACATGGGGGTTTTGGGGTGGGGGAAGTAGTATCAGAGACCAATTACTAGGGGGCATAGGGATTAGGGTATAGGGACTAACAAGGAAACAGGGTGGGAGTAACCAAAAGGCTGACATACAGGGAGAGGGCATGGGGTTGACCCAAGGAACAAGACAGGGATTGTTCTGACCTGATAGAACAGGATTCGTTATCAAAAGGAGATAGCTGGGAGAGAGGCCTCTCATGTCTTTCTAATTCGCAGTGCCTTTCAAGGTTTCCACAGAAGGGAAGGTTTATTAAAAGTAGCTTATGACAATACTGCTGGGACCCCCTTCTCTGTAATAGGAGGCCTGCATAAAGGGGTCTGACCTCTTGATTAGCTCATTATACTGGGAGTTCTATAGCTTCCAAGCTTTGAGGAGCTTGTGGACTCTCAGTGTAGTTTTCAGCTGTTTGTCCCTGTTTATCTGTCTGGTGGTTCAGGAATATTTGGGTAACTCTTCTAGTTTTTCCTCCTCTAAGGAACATTCTGTGTAGGCAAATTCTCCCCTTAAGGAGAAGAATCTCCTGTCTTGATGGTGTCAACAGTGTTCAGATCATCACCACAGAGATTCTTACCTAATTCTTGCTTAAAGCTGTAACAGCTGCCATCTTGCTGCATGGGAGACAAACCCTACAAGTGGATATGATGGGAGGGGGTCTTGTAACAAACTCCCAACTTCTGTCCTGTAGGAGTGGGAAGCTGACACCATCCCAGGTAGCCAAGAACATCATTGCCATGCTGGAAGATTGTGACAAATCCACGCCACCACTCAGAGCCATAGTGCAATGGGACCAGGAGCAAATAATGCTGGTAATGTCTGCCTCTGGTAGGAAAGGGGCCTCTGCCACCCCAAGGGCGGGTAGCATCCATTAGAAGGGCCAATATGCACAGAAAAATAAGTACATTTTTCCTTCCTTTGTATTTAGAGGACTACAAACAGGTTTGCTTTCCTTCCTTCGAAGAGAGGTAGCATTAATGCAATCTGTTTCCTGCTGGATGGCTGTTTATAATAGGACTTCTGTGCTTATGTGGTATCCATTAGTGTAGATGGTTCCAAGTTGTAGTTGTCCACCAGCATATGGTGGAGGAAGGAAACTTTAATAGACTGGCTAAGAAAGCTATTTTTATATCCATTCCAATACTGGTGAATACCTTCACTCAGCTAAATATATATAACATATGCTTTATGCTTTTTCTCTGTGCAGATGGCTGAGGCCTCCACTACTCGTTACAGGAATAAGTGTACCCTGTCTTGTCTGGATGGCATCCCAGTGTGCCTGAAAGAAGAGTTCAAAGTGGTGAGTTTCCTTGTATAGCTGCCAGTTCCTACTCAAGGTGGTTAACTAGACAACACATTGTGACAAGGTTTTAAGACCAACTTCTCAGCAGCAGCCTGAGAATATGTTTGTAATGAAGGGTTGTATGTAGGTTTGTAGTGAGTAGGATTAACAAGTTTTGCAAGGTGAAGACAGATCTTGCATACAGCAGATGTGTTCCATATCTTGATCTCTTTAATCCATGCAGAGTAGAGAGTGGGTGTGGGAAACAGTTTCCTACGAGAACGTATAAAAGCATCTGTACAGTGAGTGTAAGCGTATTTCTCAGGCACCAACTCTGCTCCAATGGCAAAGCATCCCTCTCTCCTTACCTTAAAATACACGTGCCAGTGTCTTGGTTTGAAAGACAGATATTTGCTAAAAGAGACTGGAGCCTCTCTTTGAAATGGAGAGGGTAAACTCCCCCGCTCCTTCCCTTCAATCTACTATAATTTTGAAATTAAGGGGTTCTCAGGCAAAGAGATGGGGAGTAGGAATAACAGTTCTTTACTGATATATATATATATATATGTATAACAAGGCAAACAAAACACAATAACAATAACTACGGAATTAACAACAATAGAGCAGAAACCCAGTAACAGTTCTTTCGATTGTGGACACCTTTCCCCTGTAGTGCGGTTAGCGTGCCAGCTGGCAGGCAGCGCCGGCCAGCTCCCGGTGAGCAGGGGAGAGATGCAGCAATTGTACGTGGCTGCAGGGGCGCTGGGGATGATGGTCTATGTCCCAGATGGGAAGGGCGGGGAAGAGACACTGCTCACGGATCCCAGGGCAGCGTCGGTCCCGATGCTCCAAAAGGATGCCTGAAGTCGGCAGAAGATGCCGGAGAGAGTGTCCGAGCAGGGCGGTGCGGGATCCCACAGCCAAGGAAGGCAGCTCCCAGCGTCGGCGTGGCAGGGTGAAGTTTTCCTAGCGACTGTCCTTTTCCGGGCCAAATGAACAAGAGAGCGAGCGACTCCCAAACCTCTCCTTTACCTGCTGCCTGGATATCTCGGTGTTTCCCCCTCTTCCCCCGCCTCCCCTCGAGAGAAGCTAGCCATCTGAGCTAGAAAGTAGCCACAGATTCTTAGCATAACAATGGGGAAAATTCCACAGAGATAAAAAGGGAAACACCCAACCTCCAACAGCCAGAAATACACAAGTTACTTTGAAAATCCCTACTGACAAAGATTTCTACCTGTGGCCTAACAACAGCTAACAGTAAATGCTTGTGGCAGTGCCATCAGACTGTTGTAGGCTCTGCAGAGACCTACCCCTATGTTGGGGAGTCCTGCTTATGTATACATTCTTCTGTTGGTGTCTCAAAGTAAAGAGTACCTACCCTGAAAATAAGTCCGTCTGTTATTTTGGCATTCAACTAATCTTGATGCCAGGCTTCAAAGCATGCAGATCTGAAATGCTGTAGCTCTGTCCACAGAAAGAAGGAACACAGAGCTGTGTGCTTTGGGGCCAAGGCGATCTTCAGCCTCTGGGCATAGCAATTGCATTGCTGCAGGGAGGCAGGCTGTGATCATCTACATGTTTCCGCTCTTCTGTATCATGGTGTGAAAAGGAATTTGCTGCACAGGAGAAGGACCAAATACCAAAGGGTTAAGTGTCCCTCCTGACAGAGACCAACACAGGACAAGTTGAAGAGTGGTGCTCTGTAGCCATTGCTTACCTCCATGGATCCTAATGTCTGGGATCTGTTGTGATGTTGAAATATGCATGTGCTCCTTTTCCAGGGTTTTAGAATGAATAATTATGTGTTTTCTTGCTAAGGTACCTTACCATCACCGAGTGGGAACAGTGTATCTTGGGACACAGCCAGAAACAGAAGATGCTACTGTGGCCAAGAAGCTGCGAGAGGCTGGGGCTATCATTATTGGGGTCTCAAACATGCATGAACTAGGGACTGGAACAACTGGATGCAACCCTAATAGGTAAAAATCTCTTTCCTCTCTCTTCTCCCAGTCTAGAAATACCTATGATTGTCCAGAACTCACAGGGAAGAGTACAGAAATAAGGGGAAGCATGACAGAACCCTGGGGGTATGAAAACCTAGTACTGTAGATTTGAGGGTTGGAGTAGCTGTGGAAGCCTGAAGGCTCCTGAAACTGAAGGAAGGAGAGGCTGCAGGTGTTGTCTGCTGAGTAAGGAATTTGGTTTGTCAGGCTTGGAGATGTGAATGTTTATAGGATGAGTGGTAGACAAAAGACAGAAAACAAATAAATAAAAAACAAATAGTCATGTAATGCTCAACCTCAGTGATGGCTGAAGGCCTAGAACGTTGAGAAAAAGGTACAGTCACCTCAGGAGATCATAGTGGTTTTATCTTCTGAACTAAAACAGGTTCACTGAATTTGCTTTACTATGGTGAATTCTCCAGCTATAGCCAAGCTGAGAACTCAATTCCAGAGCAGTGGTGCTCATAGCCTTTATAAGCCTTGTGTAGAGCCACACTTGGTGCATGTGCAGCTGGGTGAAACTAGAGCTCCCCCTCAGCTGTGACAGCGTGACAGCATTTCCAGCGTTTCCTCACCATAGGAAGGCAGCTGGATATCCAGCAGCTTGGCAGGGCTCTGCTGGCTGGGGCTGTGAACAGGCTGGAGATTTGGGGATAAAGGGCAAAGCTGACTTGCTTGTCTGTAAGGATTGCTGGCCACCAATTGCTCCACCTTGCATCATGCACTGTGGCAGGCAATAATGGCATGGAGCCATTGCCAACAGAAGAGCTGAAGTGGCATCCTTTACTTCAGGCCTCTTTTGGGTGGGCAGCTCATGCTCACAGGAGATTGGACTCTGAGGCAGAAGTCTTTTTTGCATCCTGTTTTCTAGGGACGTGGCACTTTCTGAGATTAAATGGTGTCTCTTTACCAAGAGATTAGAATCCCTGAGCTGTGTTTCTGGATCTTTTCCTATCCTGCAGTGTACACAGTCCTCCTAAGAAAAGGTTAAACGGTCTTTGTCTGCTTCAGGTACCACAAGATTCCTAGGAATCCCTACAATCCTAACCACTTCACAGGTGGGAGCTCCAGTGGGTCAGCAGCAGCTGTAGCAGCAGGTAGGTGGTCCTAAATGGAGTTGGTGGGAGGAAGGTCCTGAGCCATAGTACCTCAGGCTTATAGTTTTTATGGGGGGTTTGGGTTTAGTAGCTGAAGAGAACTTCTAGCTAAACAGAGAGCTCTGTGTGCTGCTGGTAGAATGGACAGGGCAACATGATGTGTCTCTGATCACAGGCCAATGTGTGGGTCTTTTTTGTAGTTTTTGTGGTTTTTGTGTTTTTGTGGTTTTTTGTAGGTCTCTGCCCCGTGGCTATTGGTACAGATGGAGGAGGCTCTGTGAGGATTCCTGCTTCGTTCTGTGGTGTGGTGGGGCTGAAAGGTAGAGCCCTTTAATCATGGAGGAGTGTGTGTTTGTCTTGTTTGCTGTTCCAGATAGAATGCCACCAAACAAGTCAGTCACTTATTCCTGTGAAGTAAAATTTGACCAGAGAAACTGAAATATAACACCCTGAGAGTCATGAGGGTTAGACTGGCAGCTGTATTCTCTACTTTCTGTTGAGCAGAGGTTCTAAAAACCTAACTTACTTATATCAAATACTAAACAAAACATGTTTGCTGCCTTTCCTTTCTACCTTTTCTACCCTTTCTACCTTTTATCCAAGACCAGATACTCAGCCACTACTCTATTTCCATCCTTCACATGTGGTTACCTTGACTCATCTCGATTCATCTGAGGACGATCATGATGATGACAAAATGCAACTGGTCAGAAAGGTGATATGAGTACTTGCAGAAGACAGCTGGTATTAAGCATGAAGTCTTGCCAGTGAAGTGGGTGAGACCTCCCATGGGGTGCTGTCTCCTGCTGTTGATAATCCTGCTCCTGCCTCTCCATCCTCCACACCACAAATGCTGCTTCTGCAAATATAAATACAAATATTACAAAATATCCCTGCACATATTTCCCCTCAACTAAATAATTCCTATGGGGGGAAACCAATTTCACTATTCATATGTTTCACTGATGAGACAGATCGGGGTCAGCAGAACAGGGTACTGAAGAATGAGAGACTGGGCTCTGAAACAGCAGACATAAAAGTGACTGGCAGGGATTTGTTGTTTATCCTGGGTGTACCAGAGCCATCTAGGTGGCTCTTCCTATGACTGCTGATACACACCTAAGTCCCATTTCTTGTTCTCCAGGTACATTTGGGCGCATCAGTTGTCATGGCAGCTTGCCACTCTCCTACTCCACAGTGAGCGTAGGTAAGAGGACTTCTGCTCTACTTCAGGGACCTTGCTGTGTGCTGCTCTCACAAGGGAGGCAATCTCTGCCTAGAAAAGACCTGGGGAGGAAGGTACTATTTACCTCTTGTCACTTTTTTATAACTGGTCTCTTTTACAGGCCCTATCTGTACATCAGTGGCAGATGCAGCCATTGTTTACAGTATCCTTGCTGAGCCAGATCTGCTCTACCCATATGGTGGGTGAACCCTCTCCCTCCCTGAAACCAGATGCCTTCCTAGAGGCATCCTAGAATAAAAGGAGGAACTGTTCTTTGTTCCCTGCAGGACTAAAACAGCCCAGAGCAACCCTATCTGGTATGTGTGCTCCTGACCTGAAAGGCTTAAAACTGGGAGTGGACTGGACAGTTTTTAAGGTGCTTGGTTTATCTCTATCTTTCTGCTGCTTTGCAAAATAAGATTTTAAAGGAGCCCAGTGCATTCATTGTTCTCTTGCCTGTCATCATTAGAGCTTCTTATATTTAGTCCTGTATTTGGAAGATAATACAGCCTGTGTGAAAACATCAACATGGAGATATTTTTTTTTCCTAAGGCAGCCTTTTGAGTTGTTGTCTGTTTTGTCTGTCTTTTGTCGGAGGCATGAGGAAAGGTAATGACTACTTCTGATTCTATGGGGAGCAATGCTTTTGAGCTGATAACAAAAGGCAGTTAGTTTAAAATCAAATGAGGAAAAAGAGTGTATCTGCTTGGTGACAGTGCTGTAGCTGCTGAGTGTTATTTCATTATTCCAGTGTAGAAATTGGGCTTGCAAGATAGTACTGCTTGAAAATTGTAATGCAGCCCCAGAAATGCGATCGGGATTTCTTCCTGGAGATACAAAAAAGACTTACTGGCTCTGGCACAGTGCAGATGAGGGATATTCTCTGCTCTGGAAAAAATGACCTTTCCTCTTCATTAGGGGTGTGACCTGCAAGCTGTTCTCTTGCAGCATGTGACCTAAGTCCTGTAGGACTGTGTTTCACTGCTCTTAGGGACAGGAACAAGGAAAGCACCATGAGGACCGAAGTCCTGTTGAGTGTGTTCACCAAGAGGAGAGCAGTTACTAAAGTTACTAAAATTCTTTTCTCTTATTCTTTAGGCATGTGATGCTGAAGTCCTGTCTGTCTGTGAGAAAGGTAAAGAGGGAAAGTCTGTAAGTCTCTTACTGTGCTTGATGTTTATGGTGTCACTTGGTGCTCCTCTTATGTATGCATTAAATAGCTCTTGCATGAAGTCCTTAAAGGCAGTTGCTTGAAGGGTTCTGGCTGGATAAACAGCAGTAACTTTGTATGAGGGAAACCCCCCTGACTGCTGAGGATTAAAAAGCTCAGCAGTTGTAGGCTTGTCAGATTAAAATGGAAGAATGCAGTTCAGTCTACTCAGCCTCTGTGTGTATAAAGACAGATCTGTGCTTGGTAATACTTACTCTGCAAGCTTTAATGTAACAGACTTTTAAGGGAAGGCCTTGTTTAACAACATAATGCTCAGTAGTAATACAGTGCTAGGTCTTTGTGATATATCCAGTTGTCTGGTATTTCCTTGAAATCAGCCAAGTGGTGCCTTTAGGGTGCCTTTGTCAGAGTTTAGACTAAGCAAAATTGACCCTGGTGCATACTTGGGGGTGGGACAGAAAGCATTTACAAGGCATGGTATAGTAGTTGCATTGGAGCTGAGATAGTTCACAGTATTTATGCTTTGCCTGGATTTTCTTCACCCTCCTGATTTCCATAGACACGCTTCTACATTTAGTTTTCTTAGGAGACATGGGTATTTATGAAGAAGCTGGGGTCACAGAAAGAAGAGGATTCTTTTCAGACTGCAGAAGATTCACTTTTCCCAAAGTCTTGGTGTTGAGCCTAGTTAAAGTGCATCAAGATTTAGTGGCCCTGTATTATTTACCCGGTCTCTTTAGTGTTCCCTGGTTCCTTTACCATTATGGTTCAGAAGGGGCTTTGAATGGGAATTTTTTGATGCTAAATAATCACTTCATGCTGATAGAACACTGGTCATGTAAAGTGCTCGGGGAAACATTGTCAGTCCTTTTACTCTTTGCTTTAATGGGAAGTTAGAGGGGCAAGGTGAATGTGCCTGAAATACAGCAGGTAAGTTAGGGACCTGTCTGCAAGCCCCTGCCCTGTTGGAATACTGAGATGTAGTTAGGTTGAATGCATTTCCCTAGGGGAAGCAGCTGCAGTCATGCATGCCACACAGTGCACTAAAGATGCTTACCCTGCAATGGCATATGGGGTCTCTCACTCTGCAGGGGTTGGGGACTTGCAGGGTTTCTGTGAAGTCTGGTGAATTCAGGGAATATGTCTGTGGTTTACCTGTCCTGGACACAGCGGTGAAGCACCTGCAGAGTTTGGGAGCCATTGTGGTTGAAGTCTCTCTTCCAGAGATGGAGGAAGCACGAGTGGCACATGTGATCTGCATTCTCAGTGAGATGAGAGACTTCCTGCAACCTGACTTCAATAAACATTTCCATGATATGGTAAGTAGCAGGAGCTTCGAGCAGTGTCAGTAGTTGTTCTGGCTGATACAGAGCAAATGTCATGTCAGTGAAAAATCTGAGGTCCTCCTGCTGCTTCTATGACAAATTACCTGTTTGATGACTACTGTTACGAAAGAGCAGACCTGAAAGAGAGCTCCTGGGCTGTCACAGTTCAGTTTCCTGCAAGCAGAGCCTTGATCAGTTTTTTTTAATTTCAGAATTTGGAAACTCGGGCTAGCCTGGCCTTGGCTTCCCAGTTCACAGCTCTGGATTATATTAAGGTAAGGAACATACTGGGGTGAAGGCTGAAGGGATGCACTTAGTGAAACTGTAAAGGTGGGATAGAGGCTTCTGTTAGCCTCCCCATACCCATGGGAAGATGTCACCCAGCTGTCCTCTGCTGTGAGAGCATGCTGAATGGTAGGTCACCACAGAGGACATGCTACCTGTCCTGCACCCTGATTCCAAATTGTGGGAATGGTGTCTTCTTTTGCAAAGGCAGAGATGCTGATGGGCAGTCTGCCAACATCAAACATGAATTTTGTGAGCCAAGAGGGTCCATCAGACTGTATTCTCTCTGCTTGCAGGCAAATCGACAGAGAACTCGGAGCATGAGATTTTTGCAAGAGATCTTCAGCACTGTGAACTGTATCCTTACACCAGGTATTGGCACCCTTGGCTAAAGAGCCAGTCCTCAACAGCTGTGTGGTGCCTTTTAAGAATAGTTAAAAGGCACTTTCCCTCCTCAATTTTAAGAGTATGACTTTCATGCACTTTGCTGTGCCTTGCACCCTTAGAAGATAATGCAGCCTGATTAGAAAGACTGCTGTGTATTTCCAGACTTCCTGGTTGTATCCACGGCACTGCATCAGGTTGCCCAGAGAGCCTGTGGGATCTTCATCCCTGGGAATATTCAAAAGCTATTTGGACATGGTCACGGGCACCCTGCACTCTAGCTGACCATTCCTGAGCCAAAGGTTAGACAAGATGACTTCTGGAAGTCCTTTTCAAATTCAGTTATTTTGTGATTCCTCCACAGCTGTTCCTTGCACTGCCCCAAGAATTTATGAATCTGACCTCTTGACTGGAAGCAGTGATATGTCCTTCACAGTCCGGTCCATGAGGTAAGGAAAGTGCTACTTGCACTACAGAAACAAAAGTTTGGGAACAGCTGGAAAAGAACTTCAGACTGTAAGGCTGGAGAGATTAATCATAGCTGCCTCTACCAAAAAAGGATGAATTTGCTGCCCTCCCCAGGAATACTGATTACAGCTTTTTCCCCCTAGGTTCATGCAGCTCGGTAACTTCACTGGAATTCCAGGCCTTGTGGTGCCCATTGGATATTCTACTGCTGGGTTTCCGATTAGCCTCCAGGTGAGTATTTGCTCTTTGTGAACAACACTGGGGTACAAAATCACCAGCTGCCTTTGTCCTGAAGCATCACAACCAGGTCCCTGCAACCAGCTCACTTGAGGAGCTATCAGGTAGTGGAAATAAAAAGCTTTAATTTGGACGTGATTTGCCTCACTCCTAAATGGCAGAGGTCTCTTTGGGTATCTTTAAGAAAGATTTCTCTGTCTCCCTGTGTACTTGCATCAATACTCAGTATTGATCTCTACCCTTTCTTATTTCTCATTTCTGTAACTTCTTTAAATCCCCTTGAAACAGGTCTCATGTAAAGGAAATATTTATGTCTTGCAATTGAAGGTCACACAGCTGCCTTTATCCCAAATACAGTGATGCCATGCTTATTGAGGTAAAATGAGAAAACATCTTTTGAGGATGAGGGGAAGAAAATTGTTTCCAAGGCTTTCAAGAGCATCTGTATGTGCTACTTTTTTTCATTTATCCTTCTCCTCCTGCCTCTCATCTTCTCCCAGGTCATGGCAAAATGGTGGGATGAAGCTGTTCTTCTGAGGACTGGCCTAAAGCTGGAGCAGTTCCGTGACCAGACCAAAAAACCATCCATTTATTATGACATCCTTGCATGATGGAGCAACCAAGATGGGGAACAAGTCTATTTTTTTCCTAGTCTGACCTGACCAAATATTAGTGAACTTGTTTTCAGTGATCATCAAATAAGGCTTAGTAGCAGGCCCATCTGAGGAATGAGGACAAAGCACTGATCTAATCAGGCACTGAGGCTGAGCAGACATAATTTCGGCTCTCTGCTTGGTGGATAGTCCAGTTTATTATAGGGAGACTAACTGTGCTAGCTAGTTGAGTTTTTGCCAACAGGGAAAGCTGCAACTGTCTTCCACAATTTCTTCCCACGTAGGGGTCCTGTGTATGGGAGGAAGGCAGTTGCATCTGCAGGACTGCATGCAGGCAGTTCGTACTACTGTACATGGCAAGGTAAAACCTTAACCTTCTCATGGAACTCCTCCTCCTCCAGAACAGAGGTACTGTTTCTGAAGGGGAAAGGCAGCAAACACTGCCTTGCACCCTCAGAACAAGGAGGATCTTAACTAAGCTACACTTAGACACTGTACTCAGTACACTGGGAGCAAACCACAAGCCTGTAGCAAAGGAGGTGTTGCTGCCACCAATGCAAGGTCAGCCCAACAGCTGCACTTGTCTGGGTGCCTCTGAGTCCTGCCTCCCTTCAGCCTGGCATGCAAGGGGAGGAGAAGCCACACCATGAACCTTCCTTGACTCTGCCCCAAAGCCCTGGTGCAGTGTTCTGGCTTTCTTTTGCACATCTCAGTTTCCCAAGCTAAGCTCTGGAGAGCCTCTTGTCTCATGCTGGTTGCTTATATATAAGCCTACTATGATCTAGGTGTCTAAATGGAAGAAACCACTGGATGCTATGAAATACTGTTCAAGGGGTGCTGAGCCAGCTCAGGTGGAACTTGAAGGAAACAGGTAGAATTTGTAGGAAATACCACTGAGCTACTGCAAAAATTGAAGCTGGATGCAAGAAAGGTGTTGCAGAAAGCCATATGCAGCAAAAACCTGTTCTAGATAAGAAGCCAGCCTTCTCTTATCTTTAAATTACTTCCTAAAGTAATCAAGGTAGGCATGGATTACTGCATAAAGTATGGCATGGCTGTAAGCCATCCTGTTGTTTTATTGAAAGGCACCAGACTATAAATTCCCTAGTACCTTTGTCCTGTCTGCAGCATTAGGGAAAGGCTTAGGAATAACTAAACCTAAGCATTTGTGTTCATTTTGGGTTGAATGCTCAGAGGCATTTCCTGTTGCCTACCTTACCAGGTATCCTGGACTTGTGATCAGGCTGCTGGAGAACTGTTCTACAGACAGCAGAGATCACTGTATTCTTACGTAGCTTGGAAGGAAAGAAGAAACAGAAAGTAATTGCAGTTTCTCAGTACAGTTTTGGGATTCTTTTTTCCCTCCATACCTACATATTCCTTAAAAAGAGCTAGCACTTTACTAATGGCTGAAGTTGTCAAATGGCATCTGAATGCAAGAACATTGCATTGCTGTCCCCTGCTTAATTACCTGAGTTAAAACATCAACTCCTACCATCAGCTGTCACCAGCATGTACAGTTACTTCTATGTTTTATCTTGAATACCTCTATGGGATACTGCCACAACTGTTTTTTCACTGCAGCCTAGGAAGCTTTAGGAAGAACAGTCTCGAAGCAAAGTATTTCCTCTATTATTAATGATAAGTTATTTACACTGCCAACATAAATGACAGTGAAACTGCTGAAATGTACTGCTTAGCACTTCAGGGACTTGGCAAGTGTTTCACAAGAATAAATTTCACCTAGGAACATTACTGCTTGAATGAAATAGATAAAACTACTTATTTCAAATCCCTTCCTAAATGCTACACTACCCTAAAATCCTAATTTCAATATTTAGTTCATTGGGTGGGCATGGTGAGGGGAGCTGAGGTTACTAGGAGTAGAGAGGCTAAAGTATGTAGTTATTTTTTTTAAGTACCTGCATCCTCCTAACAGTGGGAAGAAGAAAGAACTGAGTTTTTACTGACTGTCAGTAACTCAACCTCTCTTTTCACACACTGCTTCCTCCCTTTACCTAAACATATCTCAGCAATGCACATTTCCAGTGCAAGACTTTTCTAGTACTGAGGTCATTAAAATAAACTTATCCTGGTGAAAGGCCCTTGTGTTTTCTTTTTTCCCCTGGCTGTTAGTTTATCTGGATTCTACAGCAGACCAGTTCCTGATTACCAGCAGTTCTGTGAGCAAAGCAGACACAGTGACCACACAATCCTGTTGCTTCACATAGATATATGTATGGATATAGATATATGGTATATACACATGGATTTATATATATATATATATATATATATATAAAATAACACCTTGTTTATAAAGCAACATTTAATTGCCACTGGTTCCCCTCCCGCCCCACAAAAACAATAGTATACAAAATATAAAATATTTTAAATATTTATAAACGTCGCAAGAAAAAAATAGAAGTGTACGAAAATATTTTTTTTTTCTGAGGTTCCCTCCCTACCCTGCGGGATGAGGAAGAGAAGACTGGCCGGCCTAGTGTGCCTTGAGTCCATAGTTGTTAAGTGGGTAGGAGTATGCCCTGCCTAATACTATCCGGTCCCGAAGGAGCTTAAATAAGACATAATAATTGCAGAAAAGGATGAGGGCCATGGAGAGGGTGTGGTTCCACTTCTCTGAGCGCAGCAGGGAGTAGAGCTGGTAGCAGACCACACTACCTTCGATGAGAATCAGCAGGTTGAGCAGCCGTAAGGGACGGTGAAAGAGGAACTGCAGGGAAAGAGTTAAGGAGAGATTTCTGTAAGTTTTTGCTGGGTTGAAGTGAGGAGGAATATGGACATAATGCTGTCAGGGACCGTTGTGGGGCAGAAGAAATGCTTGTGCTCCAGCCACCACTAGCTGCTGCCCAGGCAAAACAGTAATAAGGCATGTAGAAGTGGCATTTTGCTCAAGAAGGGGAAGCGGGTGAAATAAACCTATTGGCCTTCTGACGCACTTTCCCATTTCCCTGAAAGGTGTTAACTATAACTCTCTCAGGGGAATGCCACTGCCTGATGGGAGAGCTGTGTCACCTCGATGAGAAAGCACTGACAAGGCAGCCATGGTTCCCATCTTACCCAGAGGTCACTGTAAGACAGAATGGAAAAGCCCCACTGCTGCCAACATGTATTTTGATCAGCAGCATCAGCCTGTCATGTAACACTGAACTCTGTCTTGCAGTCTGCTCTGCTGCAGCTGAGTTTGAGCCTCTCCTCCTCCCACAGCTGTAAGGCACCAAGCAAGAGAAGAGATACTTGCATAAAAGCGGGCATGGGACACATCTGAAGGCACTGCTACGTTGTAAGGCCCAACTGCTTTATACAGGCACCGGCTCCGTCGCACCAGAACTCCCTGTGGCCATATTGTGTTTTCTGACCAGCTGTGGGGAAACAATGCCAGAATGTTACCATCTGTGCTCCCAACCCCCTGAACGATTGTTCAGAGCAGTGGACTGCATCTTGAAAAACACCAAAGCCTCTGCCACAATGACATGTCCTAGCTCCCACTGAAGAAGCACTAAGGGGTGATCACAAGCCCATTCAATGGTCTCTGAGTAATATGAACTAATGGCTCCCAGTGCAAGAACCTTGTCGACTGCAGTGGTGGGGGCTACCCCCTGCCTCTGCTCCAGATACTCTCCAGTGGCCAAGAAGAATCTCAGCATTTCTTTCTGGAAAGGAACCAGCAGTGACTGGAGTAGCTTAGACAGCTCTCTAGAGCAGCCATTACTGTTTTCAGTGAACGAGGCCAGTAGAGTTGCATGGGGAGTGGAGACACATCCTCAGTAGATAAACACTACTGGTATTTGCTCATTCACTAGAACATCTCAGCTCCTTCCTAGGCATGCCAAGCCCTGCCCATCCCCACACTCACATGTGCTGTGGAGCATTGCTGTAGGAGCCATGTTCTAGTTTCTGCCACTTGCCGAGGTGGGCGGCAGACCTGTGGAGCAGGTCACAGTACTTAGGAGGCAGCAGCTGCGTGGTGAGCATGACAAAGGCATTGATCCACACCATGATGAGGTGCTCACAGGACCAGCGCATGTCATAGTACTGGGTGCTCTGTGAAGAGACCAGACAAGAACTTGGCACCACTGTCACAAAACAGAAGGAGGAATGACAAGGGATATACTGCATGTGCATCCACACCACGCGTTACAGGCATGCGCTTTTGGACTGGTGATTTTGGAAGGTTACAGCTTAGGAGACACTCAAGGCTTCCTTCTCCTTGAGCTGAAGGAGAAAGGCAGGGGATGACGCTGCAGCTGGTGCATCTCCTTCTCCAGCAGCAGCAGGTAACAAGGCAGATTGCGTGCTAGAGAACTGCCCCAGGAGCACCAACTGCACCAAGACTGTTACATGGATTGTGGAGCCCTGCCCATTTCTCTACACCAACTGAAACTTGTTCAAGTTAGAGAAATGACAGATGAAAAAATGCAACCCCCACACTAACAAGAGATTCTTGGATTTAATTTGCCAGGCATCCTAGTTGGCTCTAACAGGCTGACCACCAAAGCCTCTGATCCAAGAACTCAAAAGCCATGATGTTGGATCTGAGATGGTAACAACAGGTTCTCTTTCCTAGGAAGAACACAGCTATTCATCTACCTAGGACAGGGGTGGGAGAAGGGGAGTTAGTAAGTGGGGTGATGGGACTAGAGGTGCATCACATTTATGGCAATACCTATCTGCCAACCAGGAGCAGTACTAGTGCACTCCGGATGCAGCCATACTCCACTATCCGGGCTGCCAAAGGGGAGACAGAGAAAAGGGGAATTAACCAGGAATCTGGCCTGGCAGCAGTTCACACAACATTCAGAAGGAGACAGTGGACAGGGGCACAAAGAGAGTCAGACAACAGCTACCTTCACAAAGCACAGTGGCAGGAATGCCACGTAGTAGGCACTGAAGAGAGAGTTGAAGAGAACTTCCTTGATCCTGCGGTTGAAGTCTGCTTTTAGGCACTCCACCTCATTGCGGATGAGATCTGGGGAAAGGGGGCAGCTGTGGGTGGGGATAGACGTAGGATTATTGAACTGTTCTCTCAGGGATTCCCACAGAAGCGAGAAGAAGTCTTTGACCAGGCTGCTGACAGCTGAAGCCCCATCATCTGCCACCTGGTCCTGTACCAAGTAACCACAGTCTGAAGGTAGAGGCTGTGCTCTGCTGTCCTGGTGGAAGCAGCACAGAGGGACGTAGACACCAAACCTGCCATGAAAGAAAGATAACAATGGCTGAAATAACAGCCATCCCGACAGGGAACGGGGACACCTCCTCAACAGATACTGGCCCTGATGAGAGTGACATAGGATCCCTCACTCCAGAAACTAACAGCCAACTATTCTCCCCACTAAAAGGCCAGAGGCTGCAGCTTCAACACCCCTACAGAGAAGCTTTTTAAAATCCCATTTGTAGAACCAACAATCCCAAAGGTTCAGTTTTCAAGTGGCAGTAAAGGCCCACTCACACACACAGCAGCTGAGGCAATTCACTTCATCAGCTCAGTGCCACCTCGCACCATCCCCCAGCCACTACCTGCTTCCTTTTTAATCATAAATCAAGGAAACATTACAGCCAACAGCTCTGCTTCCCACGCTGGCTCATGGCACCCCCAAGCAGCTCTGCCCCCACTGCCCAGAGGGTTCAAAGTGGTGTCACTCACGGGTAGCCCAGGAAGAGAAGGTTGAGAACAGAATGGCTGCGGAAGAGGTTGACCAGAGTCCAGCAGAGCACCCATCCACAGAGGGTGAGCAGCACCAGGCGCACTATGTAGCAAATCAGTGATGTTGCACCCACTTGAGAGGCCTGCAAACAGAGAGGAAACACTCAGCAGTCCTACAACAACCAGTGCCAGAAGATGACCACAAGAGATGCCTGTGGAGGACCAGGGAGAGGGGTGCCAGGAGGTACTAGAAGAGGGATAGCTGCCCTCTTCCTCTCAGAAGCAGGAAACTGATTCTCTTACAAACGTAAGTGCCTTTGATTTTATTAATGATTGACAGAATCCAAAAGATTCAAATAATCACAAGTTGTGGAGCATGACTAAAATAGAATTTTCTTCTTTTTTTTAAGAAAAATTCAGAGCTGCAAAGTAGAAAAAAATTTTTGCTCAAGTCTCTTATGCTCTGATGGTCCAGGATGGCCTGAAACCCATTTCCTCTCTCTTTTTGTCAAAGGTCACAGTTCACAGTTGAGGGAAGAGAAGATGTGCACCTTGTCAATCCCAAATCCAGATTTCCATAATTTAGCTCTATTGGATGTGCACGCTGCAGTGAAGTGAGAAGGCACCACAGCAAGAAAGCCTGATCCATTCTCCAGAGGAGAGAAGGAAACTGAACTATGAAAAGATTCTTAAGGGTTTGAGCCTATACAAGGCATGCACAAGAACCTGTACGGAAGATTTCAATGCAGAAACTTCAGTCTATGGGAAATTTTACGGAGCATGTGAAACTGAGGATAAATGAAAATGGAAGAAATCAAATATAAAGAGACCTTCAGAGTTCCAACGTTTTCCATTCATCTATTCAACAGGACATAACTGTTCCTTTATTTAACTTACTTATTTTAAACACTGCTTAGTTGCTTAGCCTAGAGTTGTATTAACCATTTTAGTGGACAAAACGATTTTCCTGAAAATGACCTTTTACAGATACCTAATTTGGCCTAATTTTGGCCTAATTTGGTTCTGCTCCCACAAACAGAGAGAAGGTCTTAAAATCTGTGGTGACATGATCACAGTCTCAGTTACTGAGCAAGCAGGACTGGAAAAGCAATTCTACCAGTATTCCTATTTCACTTCAGGGTAGTCAGACATCCTCCTCCTGACCTTTCCCCCCTAAGATCTCCTGTTCATTCTTCTTGTCTTGGCCAACCTCCCTATTCGCCTTTTTGCTACCTGACTTGCAATTCTCTAGGCCACTTCTCTAGCATGAGACAGTGGGGTACAATATTGTACCTGCAGAGATAAAGCAAGTGGGACCATTTAATGTCTTCATACATGCAGAGCCAACAGAGCTACTCAATACTATGGGACATGACTGGTCTCAAGGAGAAAACTCCATGGTGGAAGGGCACCCTCAAAATCTTAGTCCTTCACACCCAGACTCTTCTGAGGGACAAAACTGCAGAATTTTCTTAGGCCATGGATGATGATGTTCTGCAGCAAGTGCTACAGGCAGGAGAGGGAACAGTGGGAATGTTACCTCAGAGATAATGGCCCACACCAGCCTCCGTGCCAGCATCACTGTGATGAACGCCGCCAGGTGGTAGTCAATGAGGTGAAAATTCTGAAGGAGAGGAAAGAAAAAAGGTCTTTACCAGGAAAACGGACTCTGAAACCACCCAGATGGGGTGGGACTAGAAAGCTGGCTGCTGGGGAGTACATTAGGACCTTTAGGACTTCACATAAGCATTCCCCAAATCTCTCTATTAGGGATAAAGTAAAAGCAATAAACATTAGTAACACAGAAATGTCTATCTCCAGAAGCAAGATCTCCTCCACAGGGAGATTCCTTCCCATGGAGAGGTCCACAGAAAACAAAACAGACCCACCCTTCAGGCAGGTATTTTTCGGGTCAAAGGGAATCTAGAACCAGAATCCCACCATGAAGAACAGGCTGCAGGTTCTCCATAGAAAAGCCCCTGAGCAACCAGACAAAGGGCAGCCAAACTGGAGTCCAGAGTGAACACACTAGTTTACTTTCCCTCTTCGTCTCAAAAATTATCTGTAGCAATCAGTGCATCCTGATGAAACCAAGCTGATCTTCATTGGGCATGAAGAAATTCTCTAGGTGCATCAAGTTAGATACAGCTCTTACAGCTTTTCAGTGAATCCATCCATACATTCTGGCCAGAGGAGTTAGTAGACTCTGAATAGTAGACTGCTATTTGGTACTCTGAATAGTTAGTAGAATGCTGTTTGGTACTTCAAGGACATTTTGGGAAAAAAGAACGCTTGAGTTGTGATGGGAATAAACAAATGAGCGCTAAATTCTGCCGGGTATGGAGCCCCAAACAGAATGCTTTGACTTCTAAGCCAGCTGTGTCCAGCACGGAAGAGCTGAGCAGAAGGCTGGTAACTGGAACACCAGCACCATCTGTCGGTACAGGTAACTGAGGGGCCACCTCGTGCTTCCAAACAGCCTTTAGGACACGGTTCCAGCTGCACAGGCTGGCTTTGCTCACATGAGGCTCGCTGACTCACAGGCCGCTTATTGGGGCAGCAAGAACACTGAAACCGAGGAGGTTGAGTGCTTTAGGTAAGCTGAGGATCTGACCCCCTCCCCAACTGTGCTGTTGACCTGCTGTGGGATCCTAACAAAAATCTGCACGTCTTCCTTCTCTCAGGCTATGTTGTTTCAACTGGCAAGGGACACTCACAACAGCAGACAGCTCCTGGAGTCTCAACTTTGTGTCAAACCCTAGGAGCTAGCTAGACCATGCAAACATGTGGAAGAAATTTCCCCTGAAGGAGTCCTGCTAACTCCTTTCTCTCACCTGCCATGTATTTTCTTCCCTGTAAAATGGGGGATGACATGGCCCTGACTGATGGGGGTGCCTGTGAACTCTCATTCACTCCCTTAAAGTCAAATGCTTGGTGATTCCTGGACTGAAGAAGCATGAAAATAAGCTGTGTAATGAAAACGCCCAAGTGATGGCACTTGCTAGGGAACTTACCAGTGAGGTGCAGGAAGCAGGGTGATTGTATGGGTACCACCAGACAGTCTTGTAGATGTTGATGTACTGAATGAAGAGGGCTACCAGAAGGTAGATGAAGAACAGGAATTCAAAGAGAAGGCTCCCATCCAAAGGCAACTCAGGGATCCGGCAGTGACGCACAGGCTCTGGAGTAATCAGTGCTGTGATTGGAGGTGCCGAGAGGCTGATGGCACAACCATTCCTGAAGCAGATGGACATCACTTACTTGGTAAACATTCTACACAATCTCTGACATTTTCCAGGATAGAATATTTGAGGTTGTGAATTTGAGACTGTGCATTACTAGGGGAGAGGTGACAGCAGTCTTGAATTCATATTTCTGATATGAGGCTGGTGGTGAGCTCCATCATCTTAGCTGAGACAAATCCCTTATCCAGAATTTTCTCTGGACGACAGCTTAATCTGTCAGAAGTGCTGTGACATGCCCAGCAATATTTCCATAAACTTGCAGACTGAGGAGCAGAGATACAGAGAAAAAAATCTGTGCTACACCCAACACTTAATATTGGCTCTTTCTACCCATCATCAGGGCATTACAGTAGCATCCAGCCTCCTTCTCCAGCAAAGTGCCCACTGCCTTTCTGTTCATATTTCCTCTTTTTAAAAGAGAAGTAACTAAAAATGGAATGGAGTAGTTCAGCCACTTCCTAGAGGCTAACCTCTCAAGTGTTCTCACACTTCGTTCTTTTCTAGCTTTTAGAGGAGGCTAGGACAACTAAAAGCTCTGGCATACTGAACTGGTAGAGGAACTATGCTTTGTCTGACTGAAGATAAGCAAGGCTCTCCCAAGACTCTGGGGCCCTGACTCCACAGTCTCAACAGTCACTTGCTTCTCAAGAACCTCAAACCGTGCTATCTGTCCCTCTGCCCTAGAGAGAGAAGTCTGTAAAGGCCAAAGCTAAATGGCTTGGATTGCTCTACTTTGTAAGAATGAACCAAGGCCCCAGCATGCAGCAAATAGCTTCTCTAGTCTGCCAGCTTTTTTATGTAAAGAAGTAATGCTGGGACCTTTCCGTTTTTACACCAAATGTGGTAATCACAATGTCACCGTGTGTCTTCCTGTTTCAGCCCCCAACCTCCCCAGAAAATACTTCCCCAGGTCATCTTTACCAACTATGAGAATTAATTTCATCTGCAACCACCAGGTCTAAAACAGAATATGGGCATTCTCCTGCCCTGCCTTTCTATTATGTAGGAGGAGGAATCACAGCTGTGCTCTGACGTGTCACATTAATACCCCAGGGCAGCAAAGGCAAGTGAGACAAGGACTCATCATTTGCTAGGACCCACTGCTCTGGGAACCGCTGCAGGAAAGACAAATGGAGCATTGTGTGATTTCCACCCCTGGCTGTTGTGACCACAGGGAGTGGTGAAGGGGGACTGAGACCACTTCCACAATTCCCTCCATGGGGCTAGTTTTAACACATGAAGTCAAAAGAGGGGCTGCGGAGGGAAGCATGTACCACAGCAGAGCTGAGAAGCTGGAAGAGGCTTGTCACACAGGACTTGTTCCCTCTTGGATGAGCCATTTCATAATGCCACAGTAGAGAGCTCAAGGTTCCCCTCTCGCAACCCCTCACTTTCACCACAAAGCCATGCTCCCACACAGGATTCAGGGTGGATCAAGGCTCCTTGTTTTCAGTTCCTTCCCAGCCACAAATGTCTCAACAACCCTGCCGTTGTGCTCACCTGTTTCTCAAACCAGTACCGTTTCCAAAGCTCCCGCCAACCAGAGTTTGGAGAGAAGGCAAAGCTGAACGGCTTAGCTGCTGCCGGCTGGGTCCCCTCCTTCCACCGGGCATGACCAGGAACCAGTCCACTTCCAGTGCCTCCAGCAGGCTGTGCCCCAACACCTAGACAACGATCCAAAAGCCTTCCCAAATCTGCAAAGGAGGCAGAACCATCACTTATGCTTTAAACTGCTGGTCACACTCACCCAGTTCACACTCTAGCCAAGCAAATTCATGCAGAAGGAAGTCACTCTCATATACTCAAAGCCTTGTGGGACAGCCAGCACCACTCTAAAACACTATGCCACTTCAATGGCAGCAAGTCAGTGTCTGCTTGCCCACCCAGAATGAACACCACTGACACTGTGTCTCTACAAAGGGGCTGCTTACATTAGCCATCAACGACTGACAGCACTTATTGCTGGCTGGAAAGCACCACTGAGCATCTCCAGAACTGGAGATGACACAGACGTGTGCTTTATTGCAAAAGCAAGCCTGGTTGAGCTACTAGAGATTCATAGCTCTTTTTAGGCATCCAGCACATTACTTTCCAGGCTCTGATGCTGGTAGGTAATTCGGACATCCTCTGGCAGAGCTCTGAACAGACATACTGGTGTCCTTGAAGGAAACTGCATAGTTCATCCTTTCTGTGCTAAGAATGCCCAAATGACACCAAGGTAATACATCCATTTAAAAGTGGGCTTAGTTAGCAGAGAAGCACAGCAAAACACACGTGTATGCATGTACTTCAAATGCACATATGGGCAATCACATAACCCAGCCCTGAAAAGAAAAATAATTCAGAAGTAAACTTGTACATACTTATTTATACATTTATTTTTAATGACACACTTAATTCTATCGATTCCTTAAAATGAACTAGTAAGAGAGGCTGGGCAACTCAGAACATCAGAAACAATGTGTAGTTTCTGGCACAGATTTTATCACTTCCCAGACAATTTTTCTTCTGTTTCACTGGTCTCCCACATGACACTGCAAGGATTTTGGCACTCAGGAAAATTTCCAATGGAAACACATAGCAGACATAAGGGAGCAAAGGACTGAACTGGAGTGCACGTGTGCTGTACAGGAACAAGACACCAAGTGAGCATCTCACCACATGGACTTTAGTGTGTCTGTGTGCCTGGAGTCTAAATCAGCTGCCCTTTTGGAAAGATATCATAGCCAGAACCAGCCCAGGGGCCAAAAATGCACATCCACCTTCTGGGAACCTCTAGATGTAGCTTTGAAATGTACAGATGGAACCTATGGTCTATTTATAATTCAGCCATCACCTCCTTTAAAAATCCGGAGAAATCACTGGCAGAAACGCCAGAAGCTCTCACTGAGTCACAGGACTGTCACCATGAACAGTGTGCAGGAGTACTTCTCTAAAAAATTCCCTCAAAGAATTACCCTGTGCATTAAAATTTCCCAACCTTCATCTCTACTCCAATAAACAACTGTCATGACTGAAACCAGGATACCAATTCTCAAACTTCCAACAAAAATCAAGATGTTTCAAAGGATGAATGGTTTCTGCATATCCACACGAAAGTCACTTGGAAAAATCAAACCAAACCAAACCCCAAAAAACCATACCAAAAAACAGAGATCCAGGAGAGAGGGAAAAAAAAAAGTAGATGTGAAAATGCATGAAAGGCAAGCAAACATTGGATAATTTTGGTTTTGAGGTATATTAATGTGTTTTGGCAGACTTTAAAACTCTCACATCTCCAGTAACAACACAACAGAGATTGAAGCTTTCCTTACGTTTTTAGTCAAGCAAGACTTTAAAGCTTTCAGATAAATTTTCCTAGGATGTTCTCGAGTTTTATTTGCATTTCAGGAATGAAATATAAACAAGAAAATTCTCCTGCAGGTGCAAGATGAGCAGGGGCCACAACAAACAATGCAGAATTTACTTAGAGCATTCAGACACTTTTGATAAGCAGCTAAAGTGAAGGAAAAAAATGAGGAAAACCCCCCAAAAAAGAACAAACTTGAAAGCCATTTTAAGCCAAATTTAGCTACCACAGGTAGCTGAAACAATTGGTCTGATTTGACCTGCAGGATATTTATGATAATGGATGCAACATATTGGTGGTCTAATTAGTGCTATTAACTGCAGAAGGTATTTTATATTACATTCAATAATTCATGTAAATTATTTAACAGGTCTCATTAGTATCACCCCATTAGTATGCCTCATATGCTCACCAATACAGACACTTAGACACGAAGTAATTGCAATTCCAGCCCCTGGCTTTGCAAACCAATGAAATGCAGGTTTCTACCAGAAAAAAACAACTGCCCATGGAAAGAAGCCACCCTTAACGTCAGTGCACATATTTTAAATGCACTTGAATAAGCCTTTTCACAGTGATTCATTAACATATAGACTGGGCAATTCCTCAAGCCAAGCTTTAAATAACTTTACTGGAGTTAGATTAAGTTAGACAAGCTTTTGTTGGAGCAAAATCTGCCTAAGAACCATCCCTTTTTTGTTTGCCTTTATTTTGTAAAACTAGCCACACAAAACTGAAGCTCCACAGATAAACCTAAACAAAGCAGATCAGATTGACTCTAAATCTGCTTTTTTTGGCCTTGAACCAATTAACAGCCCTCCTTTTTGAGGAGAAAGACATGGAGAAAGCCTTTTTATAGCTTTCCATTAATAAACAAAGGCATTATTCTACTTTGAAAAATATGTGAACAAGAAAAAAAGGTGTCCATAAACCCCTTACTCCAACAGACAATATTCCTAGTCCTATTAAGTGTTAATGAAGAGTCTGCCCTGCTCCCTTCTCTGTTTGCATTCCCCACCCCATCAGTGATCTTATTTTATAGAGTCATGCAGAAAAAGTGAGTAATGAAAGATAAAAGCTTTTCCTGACAAGACTCCTCAGTCCATTAAAGTGATTGCACACTGTTCTTTCCAGTTCACCTACAATTTCCCTCAAAAAGTAAGTCACATGCTTGTAGACCCTTCATCCTCAAATCCTCAGAACCAATACTACCTAGCCTCCAAGATCTCCTGTCTGGAGCAGATGTGGGCATCATAAAAACACATAGGCAGGATCTGGAAAGCAGCTAGAGAACAGCAAAAAGTGGTTCTGCCCATGCAAAGGGAACAGATGTGAGTATGGACAGCTCTTGGGTCCTAGGGCAGACCATGCTTCAGGACAGAGACAAAACCTTCCATTGCAACTCAGTTACAAGAAAATCCAGAAACAGAAGGCATCAGATGCTCTGATTTCCAGTTCTTGCTTTTAGGACTACAGAAAGCACTTGGTCAATTTTTTTTTTTTCCTGTTGCACGATACCCCTCCTGCCCATCAGCTCCCCAGCTATCCTGATGAGGCAGGATCAAGGCAGGCAAGAAACACAGCCATGTGCAAGACTTTACTGATAACAAGCTAGGCAGACGAATTATTCATCAATTCAGAGGTGAAGCAGTATGCACCTCAGTCCTGCTCCCCAAAGACCATCACTCAGAATCATGTTCATGCATCAGCAGCTGCCCAAACAGCTCTTTCAAGAGGCAAACCAGGAGAGAGTCAGTGACTCATCAGAATGGAAAGTGTGCCTGGTTCCCCATCTCTTTGCTGGAAACGCTACAAAGCTCAGTCAGTTATTTTGATGGCGTTAACATTTTTTAGTTGGAGAAAACTCCGAGCCTCTCCAGTCCTGTCAGGAAGCTCACTGCACTGAGACATGAGAACTCTCAGAGTCTGGAAAACATTCAAGTGGCTCTCCCTGGCTCCACAAGTCCTACAACCAGTTACTCACAAGAGCAGAAAGGGAAACGTGACCATCCTCACTTGGTGCAATGTGGGTCAAGAAGGTCTCTCACTGCAACTCATCATCTCAATTAAAGCCACCTTCTTTCCTGCTGAGGAAGCATGTGACAGCTGGGGGTGAAATAACACATGGCCTCTGTGGTGAGGGACTCTGCCTCATCCACAGCAACACAGACACTCCCAGCGAGACTTTCCATTCAGGGTGTCTGTGCTTTATGGAGACACACCTGCTACATGTGCAGAGCTCCCTTGCACGGAAGTGCTGCCAGCCACCCTCACGACATGGCTGCAGAGCACTGACACAAAGCACAATTCACTTCTGAAACTGAAAATGCTCTCTTGCTTGCTAATGTCCTCAATTCAACCCACTTCAGCTGGTCAGCCTAACCCTAAACTTGCAGTTGTCCAGCAATCCTAATATCCTTGCAAATTATCACACAAATTTTCGTTTGAATTTTAAGAGTCCTAGTTAATATAGGTTATTTTTACTTCCTTTTAGTGTGAACCTCTTATTTACTTATTTAAATTAAAAAACAACCAAAACCCCATTTTGTCTGCTGGAAAAACAGTCACAAAGCTAGTTATCAATTCACCCAACATAACACCAAAAAGAAGAAAAACACCACCAGAGAGCCAAGCAATGGCTGCACCTAAGCCTTGGTAACAAGGCCACCTTGTCAGCACCCCCACATCTGCCACACCAGAAGCCAAAAAGATGCAAAACTTCTGTGAAAGTCCCAGCTGGTTTGGGAATAAAATAAGCATTTGGTTGTTGCGAGGGAGGAAACAATCGACAGGTTATCAGATGGAAAGCCAAATATTTGGCTTGCACAGAGCTGCCCCAGTGCTAAGTCAACACAACCTTTCAACTCCGGCTGGATCCAAAGGCACACATCTGCCACCTGGCCCATAGCTGGGAGGCAAAACCAGGTTAGGAGGGAGGTCTCGAAGTCAGCACATTTTCCAAGCCCTTATGCCATACAGAGCAACGGATTAAGATGGGGATTTGGCACAGAGAGACAGAAATCCCCTGAAGAGCAGCCCAAACACCATCAAGCAGGAGAATTGGGTAGGGAATCAACACTGTCAGGTGGTACATCAGCAAGACTAATTTTTGTTCAGTGACTAATAACCTCCTCTGTAAAAACAAAACCAACCCATCAAGATCACATCAGTGTAATCTTTTCTGATACATCACAACTCTGGCTGAAGAGGCTCCATCTATCCGTCCTCTACACAGATGCCAAAACCAAAGGGTGGAAGTAGCAAGATTAAGACAAGAATTAACAAATGGCATATATACTGTATGACTTACTTCAAGTGTTTTCAGCAAGGAAGACTAGAGCTAAGCAGAAAGGTAAGTGGGAAAAATAAAAGTTTTAGCTAAAGACAAGGGGAAGGCAGCACCTGCCATTTGTAGCTGCCACAGTACTTCAAATACCCACATACAAAAACGGGAACAGGAAAGAAAAGTTTTTCAGGAAAAGTCTATCAAAGTTAAAGTGCAGTAAGCTCAGTCAGCTCATTTTGCTGACATACTTAAGGATAGGCCATAGATTTAAGTTCTTAATACTCTAGATAAACAAAATTATCCAAGATACTGAAAAAGCCATTTTTTAAAACAGAGAAATCCTATACATTCCCTACAAATCCCCTCAAAGACCTTACTTTAGGGGGTGAAAGGAAGAAATTTCCAGACATATGCAGACAATAGTGTCCTCTTCAGAATACAGGCGAGTTCAGGTTTTTGTGAATTGGAAGAAAGTTGAGACAAACACTAAACACTCTAGACAAACCTCTGGCAAGTACAAGAACAAAGCTATAGTTTCTGGTGTAATAAAATAGTATTACCTTATATTACCATATAATTACCTTGTGCAACTAACTGCTGCAGCAGGTCAAAGCAAACAGATTAGGAAGACTTTAATGAATGACTGCAATAATTTTATGAATGAAGACAAGAGAATTTATATCCCAAAAGGAAGTGAAAAAAATATAAAACAAAGCCATAATGCAAGACCCTCAAGGCTCAGCAGCTCCAAGTAGCCAATAACACTCCTCACCCAGCCAACAAGTATTACACAGTTAGCAAGACATTAACGTTTTCTTTGGCTTCTTCTGATTTATACAGCAACACTCACAGCCAAATACTGGATCTGGGAATAAAGAAAACATTGGCTTGTTCTCATGTGAGAACAAGACAGAATTGCAAAGTTGAGCCTTTCCATCAGTAGAGGGAAATGCAGGCCTGACCAGCTGGGTCACAGTCTATTTTGGTCCTAGAGCTCCCATGCTTCTGAACTGTGTGGGGAAAGGGATAGCAAGCCCAGTCTCATCCAGAGTGAGAAGCACGAACTACAGAGCTGGAGGGAATTACTGAGCCAGACAGTTCTCTAAATATGTAATAATACAGAAGTTTTAACTCCAACTCCATATTACTGATAGAAACTGAAGTTCTGAATAGAAGGGGACACTGGCTAGGAAGTGAATCACAAGGCAGTGTTTCAGCAGACAAAACACAAGCAAAGCTATCAAAGCTGGCCGTTAATACAATTTATCAACATGCATTCACTCCTAAGTATATCTTGCACCAGAGCTCTTCAGTAAACATTATGTACAGCCACAGCTCTGCTAAAACACAGCTACAGATCACTTTCCATTACACCATGCCACATGCAGTAACTGAGAAAGGCAGGGAATTTTAGGTATGGCCATGAAAAATTTTTTTTCCAAGATATCAAGGCAAATGCATAACAAAACAAATCACTACTGAGGGGGTAAAAGAAGTAAAAAATAGAAAATGCTT